TCTTCTGCGCTGTCTCAAGAACTAAGAGTGAAGTGAAAGGTAACCATTACGACAGCAAACCCTTCTCAGGCACTCATTTTGGGTCAGGCATTGCTCTAAGTGCTTCACGTGATGTGGGCACTGTTACTAGTCTCATTTTGCAAATGGGACAACCAATGTACAGAGAGCTGAGGTAGTTTGCCCAAGTCACACAGGGGCAAGTAGCAGAGCACGGACTCCAAGCCTGGCAGAGTGGCTCTGGCTCTCCCCCCAGTGCCCAGCTGAAAAGTGTTATGTGGACTATGGGGCTCCCTTTATAAGCCAAAGTCCCACTTCGTCCTGAAAATCAACCTAGCCTCCCACCAGTTCCCCAGAGCTGCCTGTGGCACCAGGCCCCAAAGGGGAGTGCCCTTGGCCTTCTCTAGAAGTGACGCAGATACAGAGGGACTCCCCTGCTTGGCTGGATTAAGCCCTCTGTGCAGTTGGCATTTGTTCTCGAGTTTTCTCATCATTCGCCCACAACCAGAGAGGAGGTGTGCCCCCTGCACTGGGCATCCAATAACACAGGCCTTCGGTTTCTCAGGAATTCATTCCTCCATCTAGCATTTCAGAGTGTTTCCTGGGCCCCAGGCCCTGGGCTAGCTGGGCAGAAACCCAGCTGAGACAGACATTTAACAAGCGATCACCCAAACAGTGGCCAAGTGATGGCTGGGAGAAGGGCCACAAAGGAGACCAGAGGGAGAAAGGAAAGTGTGGCTGGGGGACCTCAGGAGCCTCCGAGGTGGAGGGTGGTGGTGCGGGAAACCTGGCTGAGATATCCCGGGTGGGTAGGACTCCCTTGGGCCCCAGAAGTGGGACGGGGTCCAGGAAGCAGAACAGCAGGCGTGCATACATGTGCACTCCTGGCCCAGGGAGGAAACGGGCACTAAGGGTGAAGGGCAGGCAAGGGAGAAGAGGCTGCAGAAGCGTGTGTGTGTGTGTGAGTGTGTGTGAGTGTGTGTGTGTGTCTGTGTGCAGGGGCAGGGGAGGGAGTTCTGTCCTCACTGTAGTTGGAAGAGAGGCCACTGGCGGCCGACAAGGTCGGATGATTTACAGTATGAAGAAGGATCACACTTGCTATTGGCCAGACTTGGGATGGGAGGTGGGTGGGGCACAGACCCAGCTGCATTTCCCCACCCTCACTGCCAAGATCCCAAATCCAGGCCCCCAGCGGCTCTCTCCCTCTGGCCCCCTCAGGCCCGTCCTCCTCAGCGACAGGGGCTGCTTTCTCAGGCGGAGCTTTGACTGGGTTGCTGTGTGCTCAAACTCCTGCAGTGGCTCCCCATGGCCCAGTGCCTGTGAGAACCTACAGATGACAATGTCTGCCGGGACAGCCTCTTACCGCGGCTCTCCCTGACCACTCTAGCCTTCGGGTTCTCCCACCAGTTCACCACACACTTCCACATCTCTGTCCACGGGTTCTGCTTTCCCCACAGCCTGGGGTAATTTGCTCCTTCTCTGCCCATGGAAACCTCACTAACCCTTGGTGCCCAGCTCAAAGTGACCTCCTTACTCAGAAAGCCTTGCCGGGGCACCTGGGCAACTGACTCTTGATTTCAACTCAGGTCGTTATCTCAGGATTGTGGGAATCCATGCTCTGCAGGGAGTCGGCTTCAGGATTCCCTCTCCCTCTCCCTCTGTCCCTCCCCTGCACTAGCAGCGCGCTGTCTCTCAAATTAAATAAATAAATCTTTAAAAAAAAACCTTGCCAGACTTGCCTCCACCCACTATCAGAATAAAGCCTTCCTCTTTGCCTTTATTTCATCCTACACTCCATTCAGAGCTGTTGGTGTGTCTACTCTCCAGACTGCAAGTTGTCTGAGGACAGGGACTTCGCCTTGAGAATGTAAGGAGGTCCTTTTGCCCTGGGGCTTACCTAGCGCACCAAGGTCAATGCATTCATTGGTTAACAAATTTGAATGGCGTGGCTGCTCTGTAACCCATAGTGGGGAAACTGCACAGGATAGAACACAGGTCCCTGCCCTCATGTGGCCACTCTCTGGTGGGGAACCCATCAATTAGCAAGATAAATGTTATAGGTTTCGATTTTCAATCAAGTAGTCAGGGAAGGTGGCATTAGAGCAAAGACCTAAAAGGTGATGGCGAGAGGTTTATGGGAGAAGAGTGTCCCAGGCAGAGGGAAGAGCAAGTAGCAAGGTCCTGAGTGAAGTGGGGGCAGCGTGAGGAGAGAGTTGAGAGATGGGAGTCAGAGGTGTATGTGGTGGGCTTGTGTAAGCCCCTGATGGACACTGGGAAGAGTGAGGAGAGGAGGTGAAGCTGTGAGGTCCCGAGCAGAGGAGGGGCAAGGCCTGACGTGGCAGGACCCCTCCAGCTGCTACAGTGAGAAAAGACTGAAATTGAAAGTGTGGGGCCAAGTGTGGTCAGTCAATACAAGCGCCATCCTCGCCAGAATCAGGTTCTTTCATCATCCGGTGGGTCTGTTTCTAAAATTCTCTCACCTTGGTACTGCTGCACACAGAGGACCACCTTTCAGGTTTGTTTTGTTTTGTTTGGCCGAGGAGTAGGTAGTGAGTGAAGACAGGAAAAGTCATTCCCTTTGTGAAGCCTCGCCGGCAATCCCAAGAACGGTGATGCCCTAAGGGACCCCGGGGACCAGCTCACGATAGGAAACTGAGGCCCAGGAAGAGGGACTCGGGAGCATTTAAAAAATAGCTGCCCCGGTTCCCCCTCTCCCCACCGCAGGAATCCCTTCGGATCAGGTGCAGAGAAACAGCTCGTACCTTTCCTGCAAGAGAGGGTGCTGGCCCATTAGCTACTCAGTGAGTCAGAGCCGGCCCCTGCACCACTCGAGGGCCGAAGGGCCCTTCTGCAAGCGCGGCGCGCCGGGGGCGGGGGCGGGGAGGCGGGAGCAGCCGCGGGCGCCCTGCGGACAGCTACCCCGCGGCGCGGCCGAGTCCGGGGCGGCCACCCCGGAGCCCCCGGCCCTCGCCCCAGCCCCCCGGGGCCCCGAGCGCGCTGGAGGGCAGGAGCCCTCCGCCGCACGTCCGTCTGCCCCGCGGGCTGAGCCCGCTCGGCTGCTGGTGGCAAGGGCTGCGTTCCCACGACGCGCGGCCGGGCAGGGAGCGGTGGGCCACCGTGCGGATGCTGCCCCACTCCCCGCCTCCAGGGTCGCGGTCCCCGCGCTCGCTCCAGCCGCCGAGGCCAGAGCGACCCGGGCTCCGCGCTCTGCGGGGAAGGCGAGCCCCGGGCACACGCCGGCGCTGCGGCCCCGGAGGCCCGGGTGGCCCGACCTGCGTGTGGCCTCGCGACGGGAAAGCGCGCTCAGGCCGGCCCCACGCGCCCGGTTCCCCGCGAGTCTCTCGCGCGGCCTTTCCGAGCCCGGAGTCCCCAGTTCGCCAGTGGCCGGCACACCCCACTGTGGAGCTGAGCTATTAAGGGGGGCCCAGGCGTGACCCTAAGGGCCAGGCGCCAGGCCCTGGCTCAGCCACTGACTCCTGGGCCCACCCCGCCGCCTCAGTTGGAGCCCGGATTAGCGGTCCCTGAAGGTCCTTTCCAGCTGTGCACCTTTACAAACCTGTAAGAACCACAGACCCGACCCACCTCCGAGAACATTTTCCGCCCTATGTGGAAAAAGTCCCGTTGGAATGCAATTTCCACCGAAAAGCAGAGGCGGAGGGCAGCGGGGAGGCTCCAGGCCCTGAACCAGGTCAGGTGGGGGTGAGCAGGGTAGGGCAAGGGCCCCAGGCCGGGCCTAAAGACTCCCTGCTTGTGGAGATCTGAATTACAAAAGGCTCTTAGATCCCTGCTGAAAGGGTAAGCCTCACTGTAGGATCTTCGCGGCAGTTCCCTTAACAGAGTTTAAAGAATTCAAAAACTCGGCCCCACCCCAGATCCACTCTGGCAGCATTTCCAAGGGTTCTTAAAAGGAGGCGGCCCTGTTTGGGCCTCAGGGATCTCACCTTGAAGCCCCAGGCATCCCCACGAACTCCTGGGGGCCGGGTGGTGGGAGAGCGGAGGGGTAAAGAAGGTAGGAGAATAGGGTTTCACGTTTGTTGTTGAGTGATGAGGACTGCCTATAATCTTTTGGGGGTCTTGAACTGACAGGAACCGAAAACCTATTTGAACAGTGTTTGCCAAACTTCCCTATTTCCTATTTACTTTCAATGTTTTCCTAACCTCTCCAGGCAGTCAAGCCGCTTAAGGGATTCTGGTTTGAGGTTCCCCTCTGTGGGCGGGCTTGGCCTGGTACTGGGCCTCAGAGGTGATTGATGTGGTTAAAGTACTTTCCAGTGAGGGCCAGGGCAGAGGCCCAGAGTGCTGTCCATCACCTTGACCAGTTGGAGCTATCCCCAAGCCATGGGGCCCTGGGCTTTGCCGCAGTGGAGGCAGGCTGCCTTGGGGCCTCTGAGTTTAGGCCATGCCTAGGCACCCCTGACTTTCTGTCATTTTTTTCACCTTCCAGACCGGACTTTAGCTCTCCCTGGGTGGCCTTTTACTGGTGACAAGCAGACCACATTCAGAGGCATCTGACCAGCATCGCCTCCCTCACAAGCAGATTGCGCAGTGGCTGGGGTGGATAGGTGGGTCAAACTACCTTTGTTAGAGGACACTGAGGCTGGGAGAGGTGAGGTGACACAGCTGAGGGCACCCAAAGTCAGTGACAGAGCCCAAAGCCACAACCTCGCCGCTGCCTCCTAGCCCTACGGTCTTGTCACCTCACCCCCTTTCTGAACATGAAACTGAGTTATGAGTTTCTACTGAAGTAGGAGCCTGCTAGGCCACAGCCCGTGTTCAGGCTCGCTGCCACAGACAGACAGTACTGTGAGGAGCCTCCCAACCAAGGCTTGTGAGGGACAGATGGAGAAACTGGGGAGATTGGACTTGAAGAGGACACGGAGAGTTGGGGTGATATGGGCATTTGTTGGGGTGGGGGAAGGAACAGGGAACCATGGCAACCGTCTTCAGATCTCTGCCTCGCTCAGCCATGTCATAATCGTGTTCTGTGAGGTTCTGATAGCAGAGACCATAGGTTTCGGCTTCAGGACAAGCGCTTCAGCCTGATGGAAGGAGAGGCGTTCGCAGGAGCTGAGATGGAAAGCCTTCCTCTGAAGAATCCGCGCAAACCTTTCATCCTACGAAGTACGTCCGCAGCGATAGGAGGTCAACGGGCGGGGCTGTGGCGGGGGTGGGGGTGGATGGGCTGGGGGCATGGGGGTGAGGGTGGGCAAGGATGGGTCTTGAGGGAGGGCGGAGTCTGGACATCACTTACTATACAGTCTCTTCTAGATGGGGGATGATCTTCCTTCCCTGGTTTGGCCTTCAAGCTGCTATCTTTGGGAATGCCCTCGATGTGCCCGGGTGTGAGCGTGTATACATGCGCTGCTTGTGAATTGCCTGTGCTTGTAAATGTGTCCCTCACCATTCACTCAGGGTCCCCCCAAGTAGTGACTTCTGGGCTCTGAAGGTTGACAGTCTGGTCCACCCCCTTGGTGCCTGCCAACTGCTAAGTGCAGCTTCCCAGTGTGGCCAGGATGCCAGGCAGTAGATGGACCAGAAGGAGACCCCTGTCCCACCCGAGACCGCAACTCACATCTTGGGCCTAGAAAGGCCTGACAACATTGAGAGGATAGGGTACTCTGGCAGAGGGGAGATACAGGTCAGATCACATGTGGAGATCCTGTTCCCCTCTGGGAAGGGCAGAGACAGGGGAGAAGGGAACAGCCTGGGCAGGTCAGACCCTAAGAACCTCATTGTGGAGGAAGCTGGAGCTGTTTGCCTGGAGAAGAGACCTGGCCTGCCATGAATTCCTGAAGGGTAAGGAACTGTACTGTGTGCAGAGTGTGAACCCCAACGCTCAGAGATTACCTGGGATGGAAGAGACCACCCAAAAGGGAGGTCATAAGCTCCCTATAAGTGGAGGTATGTGAGCAGAAGGTAGGCAACCACTCAGCTAGCTCCAACAGGGCAGAGTATTGGACCAGGTGGCCTTAAGATGTTTGCATTCCCAAAAGTTTTAAAATTGGGGACATGGGGAAGTGACCCCATACTTGTCAGCTCTTGGCAAAAGCAGAACTACCTTGGCCTTCAGTCTCAGTTGGATCCCTGATGAGGGAAGCCTAGCAGTGCAAGCTGGAGGGGTTCAGGCCTTCCCAGGAGGCTCAGAGGAGTTGGCAAGAGCTGGGTGGGGTAGGGAGGAAGATGCCTTGTGAGGTGGGTTCTGTTGCACTCTTCAAACTTAGTTTGAAGTTTTTGGAAACTTCTGGAAGTTTTCTGGAAACAGCATTTGCAAAACTCATCTGGTGGGTCTCTTTTCTAAATATGGGAATTATAAGTAGCTGGATATCTTGGTCCTTAAAGTGCTTTAGAAAGGGAACTTCGTATAGAAAAAGTCATGATGCTTCTTCCATTATTTTCTCCAAATTTCAGTCTCTAAAATGTGCCCCCTTTTGTCATCCTTCCTTTTTCTTCCATTCTTTCCAGGAAGCTTGTGGTACCTCAAAGAGGAAAGGGCCCTCATATTTCCCAACAAGGCTGATACTAGCATTTGGAGTGGGAAATTACTTCCTTGTGTGTGACTGCCGTATGCAATGCAGAACATTTAGCATCCCCTTTCTTTATAAAATTCCAGCAAGGACTCCCAGACATGGGGCACTTCCAAACATCCCTTAGAGGAGACACTACCTCCCTCCACGTTTTGAAAACCACTGCCTTGAACCCCTGCCCCCCAGAAGTGACTTGCTCAAGGCCATATCACCAGCCAGTGGCAAAGCCAAGGCCAAGTCAAAACCCATTCATTAATAACAAGAACTTTTACTCTTCACCAGGGTGTGTGTCAGGAGAACAGAGTGCATGCGGACCTGAACTGAGGCAGTTAAGAGGGGGGACTTCCTGCCCACAAAACTACAATGTCTCACAATTTTTCTGCTTTTTGCCAAACTCCATTTTCCTTCTGTAACCCGCCTACCTTGCCGTTTCAGCAGATGCAAGCGCAAATTGAATTTCTGGCAATTAGTGCACAGAGTCTAGTGGAGCGCGATTCGCAGGAGCAGAGCCAGGTCCCCTTCGGGCGGGGCACCAGGGCTCTAGCGCCTAAACCCCGAGGTCTCGGCGAGCGAACCGCGGTCTTTCACCCGCAATGAGGAGCTAGCGAGCTGCGGCCGGGCCCCTGCCGCGGGGCTGCGCCGGAACTGGGTAGAGGTGGAGGACCTTGGACCCTCGGTGGTCGGTCCCTGGAGGTTTTTCCGGTTTGATGGGGTGCCTGGAGACCAGGGAGCAAGGGCCGTGGCCGGCGTCAGGGGCACCCAGGCGGTGCCGCGGCGGCAGCAGAGAGGTCAGCGCAGCTGGGCTCGACCTCGTCTTCCACGCCAGAGGCCGCGGCCGCCGGGAATGGCGGGGCCACCTCTCCAAAGTCCTTTGAGATCCTAGCTCGGTTCGGGGAGGGGGTGGGGGTGTGTGGGAAAGCGAGAATATTATTATCCCTCTGTTTTGCCTCGGCAGCCAGCGCCGGCGGGTTGTTCTGTTTGAATGAATGATCCCAGCGGCCGCGCCCAATAGGCGCCCGCGCCTGTTTAATATGCATGAGACCCGCGGCCAATGGCCGGGCGAGGAGGCTGTTTTAAACGGCGGAGCCCGCTGGCCAATCAGGCGGCTCTCGTGGAGGCAGCTAGCGCGAGGTTGGGGAGCGCTGAGCCGCGCGTCGTGCCCTGCGCTGCCCAGACTAGCGAACAATACAGGTACGTTTCGCACCGCCCGCTCCCGCCGCCGCCGTCGTCGCCGCCACCGCCGCCGCCGCCGCAGCGCCCGCACAACTTTCCGGCCCGCGCCGCCGCGAGCGCGCCCCGCTGCCGCCTCCCCCTGCCTGTCGTCCCTGCGCCCTTCCTGCCCCTTCTCCTTCCCTCTTGCTAGGTGGCCGGGAAGGAAGAAGCAATTCAGGTGTTGCAACTTTTCAATGCTTCATCCTCAGCTCCCCGCAGTCGGGGCTGAGCCCCCTTCGGGGAGCCGCCCTCGGCCGCCGCCCTGCCCCCGCCCCCCTAGGGCAGCGGCCGAGGGGCTGAGGCCCCCAGAGGCCAGATGTTGGGGTAGCTGCGGCGGCGGCGGCGGTGGCTGTGGCGGCGGCGGCGGCGGCGGCGGCGGCGCGAGCCCAGGGGCGGCTGCGGGCTGCGGGCTCCGGCGGCGCGCGTCCCGGCGTGGGGCGGCGGCGGCACTGGGAAGGGGGCCGGGTGCTTCCCGGCCCGGGACGGACTCTGCGAGGGGCGGGCGGCCGGTGCCCGCTGGGGGCTGCGGCGCGGGCAAACTTCGCTCCCGGGCTCGACCCGGCGCCGCGCGGGCCCGCGGGCTGCACTGCTGCTTCTGCATTAACATGGCCGTCGCGGGAGCGCCCGGCGGCCCGCGGGGGGGCAGTGGGTGCGCGGGCCGGCCGCCCCCCGCTCGTCTCCTGCCCACCAGCCGCCGCCGCTGCCGCCGCGACCGCTGCTACCATAGCTCGTGCGGTGCCGGGCTCCCGGCGAGGGCAGGACGGGCGGGCGGGGCGCCCGGGCGGGCTCCGGCCTCGGCCCCGGCGCCCGCGGCCCGGGACTGGCGGCGTGGAGGGCCGGGGGCGCCGCCGCGGGCCCCGGCGCGGCCGAGCGTCATGGCTGCACGGGCGCCTTTGTTATCCC